TCAAAAAACTTTCTGATTTAATTCACTGTCCTATATATGTCAGCCCATAGGCAGAAATTTTTCAACACATCATGTCCATGTCACAGTTATCTTGCTCACTAGAAACTAATAAATTGGCATAGGGATTTTATATGTCAATCTTATAACTCAGTTCACGAAATTTCTTTCCTGGAGAAAAAAAATTTCCTGGGCCGGGCGCGGTGGCTCAAGCCTGTAATCCCAGCACTTTGGGAGGCCGAGGCGGGTGGATCACGAGGTCAAGAGATCGAGACCACCCTAGTCAACAGGGTGAAACCCCGTCTCTACTAAATATGCAAAAAAAATTAGCTGGGCATGGTGGCACATGCTTGTAATCCCAGCTACTCAGGAGGCTGAGGCAGGAGAACTGCCTGAGCCCAGGAGGCGGAGGTTGCGGTGAGCCGAGATCGTGCCATTGCACTCCAGCCTGGGTAAAAAGAGGGAAACTCCGTCTCAAAAAAAAAAAAAAAATTACCATGTCCTGGCAAAAGCAGATTTCTTAGCATTCAAAACAAAGGGTCACAACTCTAAGCAATGAAAAATTTGTCTAATAAAAACCTCTTGAAAGGCCTTTTCTGGGTATATCAGGGCCTTGATTTATTCAGCAAATATTTAGTAATCCCCACCATATGCCAACCTTTGTTCTAAGCTTTGAGGATAGAGCAGTAAAAAAGATAGACAAGCTCTACCACCATGAAATCACAATCTACTAGGGGCTGACAGAAAATAAACATGTTAAAAAAATAAGGTTATTTCACATAGCACTAAATGGTATGAAGAAAATTAAGCAGGATAGAGAAGAGTTAAAGTTGGAGGAGAGAAGATGAGAGCCCTTTAAACAGGTGGTCAGGATAAGACTTCTCAAAGGAGAGGATATTTGAGCTGAGACTTGAGTGAAGAGAACAAGTCAGCCATGAGAAATGGGGTAGAGAATTCCAGACCTAGAGGAAGAGCAAATGCAAAATCTCTAAGGTAGGAATGAGGGTGGAATATTCGAGCAAAGATAGAAAATCAGTATGACTGGATCGTAATGAGTAAGGAAGGTATAGAATAAATCATATAGGCCATGATAAGGAGTCTGGATTTTATTCTAATTGCAAGGCAAAGATATCAGTGAAATACAGGAAGGGAAGTGATAGAGTCTGATTTATATTGTTAAATGGCTAACAACGGAGAATGAATTCTGAGAAGGCAAGAGTCGAAACCAAGACGCCAATCAAGAAGCTGTTGTCATGGTTCAGATGAGAGCTGCTGATGGCTTGCACTAAGGAAAGTAGCTGTAGACATGGTAGGTGGTCAGTCAGATTTGGGATATATCTTTGAGGGCCAATGGAACTTGATAGATTGGATATTGGAAAGAAGAGAAAAAGAAGAATCAAAGTTTTGATCTCTTGGTTCTCTCATCAGAAATTTCTATACCTGCAAGCTGCTAAAAGTCAGTTGTTCTACTGGAGATCTTTCATTCAGTAACCACAACAATGTAAAGCTAGTCAAAACTTCTGCTTCTGCATCACAATACTTGAATTATGTGTGCCAATTTATTATAGAGGATTCAAAAACAGCTTATTTCCATTAAAGTAAGGCTTTTAGCTTCTGAGGTTTTTTGTTCTTTCGCAATCTGAAAAGCAGCTCATTTTCTAAAGACTCAAGCACTTATAAAACAACATTGATTTGTACACCCGTTAAAAAGCACTATATCTGTAAACTATTAGAGATCTATAGGTGCAGAGCTTCTATCACAGTAATCACTTGTTTATTTTGCTTTTTGGTCTTATTTTCTCCTATGATGGCCGTGTTTCATATCATTGTTTTATGAATGTTAAACCAAGGCTTAGGAAGCCAGGTCACTTACAGCACAGGAAGAAACAGAATGGCAAGTGACTTCCTTACAGTCAACCCTTAATGTGTTCATTCATCTTCTGTGAAACTCTAGCAATAGTGAATCTTGAAGAACAAACTGTTTAAGGCTGTAGAGCAATTTTCTATCTCCTGAACTTAACTCTTTTCATGCTTTATATATATTACCCAGTAATAGACTCTTAGAAAATAACATTTTGAAAATACACTTATTACTATGTACAAATCTATAAAATGTATACAAAATATTATTAGAGGGGGAAAGCAGGATTGAACATATCCTCATGGCCAAGAAGAATTAGGAAAATTCACAGTATTTATTGTGTTAATATGCACAGTACTGTTAAGGACCGAGAGTATTTAGGGTTTGGGAATAAACCACACTCCTCTTTCCCACCAAGGTATAAACCAGCTGAGAGACTGGATTGGATATTGGAGAGAAAAGAAAATAAAGAATCAAAGTTATGATCTTTTGCTTCTTCTTATCAGAAATTCCTGCACCTGCATGCTGCAAAAAGTCAGTTGTTCTACTGGAGAACTTTCACTCAGTAATCATAACAAAGTAAAGCTAGTTAATATTTTGTATATGTTTCGCAGACTTGTACATAACTCAATCTAACACAAAAGACTAGACAACTGAAAACTACCACACCTACTGACAAAGCTGATGCTGGAGACTGTGTGGCAACAAGGGGCCTCCCAACACCAAACTGTGGGATGAGTGAGGCAGGCCTACATTGAGGTGCTGACTGGCAGTGCAGGGCAACTGCAATCCTCCCCTTCACTCACTACACAGGCCCATCCCTGTATAATCTACAGCACGAAGAAATAGGCCAGAAGGCATGATTCCTGAGAGACGCCTGGCCCAAGAGTAAGACTGGTGAAAGGGGCCAAGGTTTCTCACAGAGCTTCTCACCATCAAGTATCTTACTTCATAGAGAAGAGGAAGGGGTGACCCAAGAGGCCAGGAGTGTTAACAGGAAACCCTGTAACTGTATCACATTTCCCCACTCAATTGTATTCTCTTAACTTAGAAGTCTTCAAACTGGCATACGTCTACCCTGGGATTACATGAGTACTTGCTAAGGAGAATACAGGCATAGAAAATTTTAAGGAAATCTATTCCATTTATTGAACTTTCACCTATTCTTTCCCAAAATTGAGCTGCCTGAAACATGACTGAGGTTGAGATGTCACATCAATTCTATTTTTACAACTCCCTTTAAAAATCATTTTTTAAGCTTCAAGTCAGTGACAAGTAAAAAAAAAAAAATCATTTTTTTCACACTTATAAAAGACAGGCATCTTCTTACCCATCCCAGATCCTTCTATACCAAATTGCTCTGGTGTACAAAAAAAACTCTAAGGCATCATACAAAGGAACACTTCGAAATACTGTCTTGAAATCAATACTTGATTGAATAAGGGTATAATAAACTTACATGAGGATTCCCTGACTTTCCTTATCTATATTTCTAAGAGAAAAGCATGGTGCTAGAAACTGGGTATTTTTGTCTGCGTTGACGTGTTCTGAGTGTAGACATACTGGGGCAAAGGCAGTGGTTGTGCTAATTTTTGTCTAATAATATTTCCTCTTCCATTGCCTGATGATGTCAAAGAATGTGGCTGAGAGAGCAAAGAAAAACACTAAAGGAGGTTGTATCCTATTTCATCCAGATAACAAACTCAGAGCCAGGTTACATGCTCCACATATACATCTCGGAATTAGGATACGCAAGATTTGTGAAAATCATTCTGGGAAATACCAATTAGCTATAAGGTACACCTTCTCTGTAATGAGAGCACTTGATGCAAAATCTCATTCTCCTGTGTCTCAGTTGCACATTCCAAATGATTTCAAGGAAAAGGATATAAAAAATTCCAAAGTTCCTTTCAACAGATCAATGGTACGTGAAAAAGGAACATATATAACTAAAAAGTTAATGATTCTTATTTTCTTGAACAGATATTCAGACCTTAGGAGAAAATATTCCAATCAATTTTTGCCAAAAGATTATTGAATACAGTAAATCTATATTCATTTTTTTACCCAAATATGTCTGCTCAGTGTTATTTGTTAAACATTTCTCACCTCATTATTCATTCCTACAATTTATGTAATAGACTTATATTTATTAGATATATTGTTTTCTATTGAAAATAACACATTTAACAGAAATCATTTATTCACCTTTGTAAGCCCTGCACCTAATTATCTCCCAACATATTTTCCCATTTTGTTGCCTAGCAAAAAGTTACATTTACCTATAAATACATGAACTAATTGAGAAGGGCACTCCATTCACTTCGTTAAGAGATATACTTCCAGTAAAATTTTAGTTCTCTTGAGTAATTATTTGTAAAAATTTATAATGTAGGTATGATCATTATGTACTAACAATAAATGTAATAATAATTCAAAAGAAATTCTTGATGCTTAGAACCTTATAGTCATAAGGAATTTTTTTTAATTATTAACTTTCGTTTTTTTTTTGGAGACAGTCTCACTCTTGTCATCCAGGCTGGAGTGCAAGGGCATGATTTCAGCTCACTGCAACCTCTGTTTCCCAGGTTCAAGCAATACTCCTGCCTCAGCCTCCCGAGTAGCTGGGATTACAGGCATGCATCACTACGTCCAGCTAATTTTTGTATTATTAGTAGAGACGGAGTTTCACAATGTTGGCCAGGCTGGTCTTGAACTCCTGGCCTCAGGTTATCCACCCACCTCGGCCTCCCAAAGTGCTGGGATTACAGGTGTGAGCCACTGTACCCGGACTATAAACAACTTTTTATTGTGGAAAAGAGTAACAGAGTAAGCAAGCAAATACATTTGGGCACAAAATATATTAAAATTCTGTTAGGGAAGTAGAATGAAAATATAAATTCAAATAGGAAAAGGTATAATGTAAAATTTCTGTGAAAATAAATGACGGTGAGTATTCCTTTTCTATGGATGTAGACTTCATTTAGATTGCATTTTAAGTGGCATAACACTTTTTATTTTAAAATATTCACATTTATATTACGTAAAAAATTACATGTTTTGCAACTAAGGTCAAAATATTTTACATGTCAACTTAAAAACTACTTCAGGGGTGTGTCAGCAAGAGTATGAAAACCATTACCTTAACCCTACGGGCTTATCCACTGAGATCAGGTTGGGATATGGTTATTCCATTGGGTGTGAAGTCAGCCGTCAAATGGAGTAGTCCTGCTCCCATCTTCATAAGGCCACTTCTCCAATACTGATTTCACCTCTTTTGTAGGACATTCTGGGGCCACTGGTAAACTGTAGATTCTGTCCCCAAAACGCCCTGAATGGGTCAGAACAACATATCAGTTAAATCAGTTCCAATGCTATTCTGTACCCAAGGCTGTAAGTCACAATGTGTTCTACAGCCATCTCAAACTATGTCCTGTCAGCTTGTCCAGCGTTATCAGAATTTCTAAAACATGATCAAATACTTAAATAACTAAGAACCAACAAGATAACCTCAATTTGATTTTGACCCTCTCCCAATATTAATTTTCCACAGAGAAATTAAAAGTTTAGAGATTAAATCACTCTGTGCTTCTAAATTATGGCCCAAAGTAATCAGTACCAACTTCATGTTAAAGTCCAAAATCATTAATGGCCAACACTGAACTCTTTTACTCTGTAAATTAAAGTTCAAACAACAGGTTTTGTCACTCCCTGGAAGTGAACTTAGCTCCCAAACCTGAAATTTCCCTTCCCCCAGGGAGTTGATGCTGTTCAGCTTACTCCAAGCCTCCCTTGGCAGGAGCAGACTCCTGTGAAACTTGTGTGAGGTAGCAGAGGAGAAAGCGCACTTTCCATGAACAGGATGGCTCCCAAGAGAAAGGGAAAGCAGCAAGGTAGGCTGCCCATGAGCCAAACTTCCACATCAGGAAACTCACTGGTGGCACTGGGAACAGAGCATCAAATGACAGACTCGTGGCACTCCTTCTATGTTTCAAGAAACGCGTGATACGGAAAAAAAAAAAAAAAATTCTCTATTCCCTAAAATAGAAAAACAACAACAACAACAATTTCTCTTATTTAAGAATTATTTATTGAATATCATGGTGCAAACTTCTGAGCAAGGTTCACTGGGAAATGTATAAGTAAGTCAGAGCTGGACACTGCCTACGAACCAACCACTAATATTTCTTTCTTTTTTTTTTTTTTGAGACGGACTTTCGCTCTTGTTACCCAGGCTGGAGTTGCAATGGTGCAATCTCGGCTCACCGCAACCTCCGCCTCCAGGGTTCAGGCAATTCTCCTGCCTCAGCCTCCTGAGTAGCTGGGATTAAAGGCACGTGCCACCATGCCCAGCTGATTTTTTTGTATTTTTTAGTGGAGACGGGGTTTCACCATGTTGACCAAGATGGTCTCGATCTCTTGACCTCGTGATCCACCCGCCTCGACCTCCCAAAGTGCTGGGATTACAGGCTTGAGCCACCGCACCCGGCAACCACTAATATTTCTAACACAATTATTACATACATCAGTGACTCATATTTTAGATTTTTGTTATAAAATCACCCTTTTCCAGTACCAGTTTTTATGTTAGTATGCAAAAGTTGATACCAAACAACTCCAAATAGCTCAGTGACTTAGAACAACAGAGATGTACTTCTTATTCATAACCTATGTGTGTTAGCTGGGAGCTCTTTTCCACTTTGTCCCTTCTCTGAGACCCTGGCTGATAGAAGCCTACACAATTTGAAATATCATTAGAGTAGTAATTAAAGATGGCCACATTTTCCTGGAACTCTGTAGTTGACAAAAATTTTTGTAACAAAGATGGCCAGTTTCTTTTGTCACTCTTCCTCCACCCCTAATCAAAGTGTTTATTTCCTCTCCCCTTAAAACTGAGCTGTCCCTGTGACCACTTTTACCAATACAATATGTCATTTCCAGGCCTAAGACGTATAAAACCTGGAAGTTTTTGCTTTTCTGCACTTGAGAATCCTAAGACACCATGCAAGAAGTCACGCTACTCTACTGAAGAAGCCATGTGAATCAGGAGTCTTTGGAACAGCATGGGTAAATAAAAAGGCTCAGCCATTCTAGCAACCCAGCCGAGTCTCCAAATACTCTAGCCCCAGACAATACCGGGCTGGAACCACAAGACAGACCCTAAGTAAGATCAGACAACTGCCCAGGAGCCTAGTCAACCCACAAAACCTAAACTGGTGACTGTTTTAAGCCATTAAGATTTAAGGTGCTTTGTCATGGGACAATAATTAAAATATTTCATCCCTGTGGCAGAAACAAAGAGAACAGGATGTTTACAGGATCTTAAAGCTTTTGTTTGGAAATGACACAAGTCATTTCCAATCACATTTTATTGGCCCTCTTGAGGTAAAAGGAGTAGGGAAATCTAAATCTACTATGCGTGTGGAAAAAGAAACAAAAATATTTGGTGGCTAGTACTAATATCTTCCAGCGAAAAGTCAGGCTGGAGATTACAGGTAAATCAGTAAATAGATGAAGTGTCAGGGGAAAAAAGCTGATAGGTGAAACTAATCTAGATGATGGATTCTTGTAGATGTCCTCTAGGCAAGGTAGGTTTATAAAGAGAAAAAGGAGGGTAGAAAGAAGTCCAAAAAAAGAGCCTTCACAGGGGAAAAGGGGAAATCTTGGGATCCAAAGGACAGTTTCAGTAACAGAAAAGTCAAGAACATAAAATAAAAGGCCAAAATGAATGGTATAGGCAAGGAATACATAGAAATTCAAAGAAGACAGGTTAATGTGGGCTGATACAGTTAGAGGCCTTGGGTAGACGTAGAATTAAACGAAAGAATGGAAAGGTAATGGAAACTGTATGGCTGGAAATGAGAAGGAAACAGCATAAGCCAAGTCCTAGAGTGGGAAATGCACATAGCATAAACGGGGCAAGGGACTAGGTATCATCAGGGGAAATGTATCATTTAATAGAGAGTATCCGAGGAATTGTTTGCTGCAGAAGGGGAAGGCAGGGAAACCATTCAGGGACTTGTGGAGGCCCTTGAGTGCCAATTGAGCTTTCTGAATTGTTCTCTTTACATTACAGAGCACCCCTGGAGATTGGTGTCTGAGCAAAGGAAATCAGAACACAGGTCTAGTCCCTTTGTATAGGAATGAGGTAGGAGAAAACTGACAGCAAGTCACCAATTGCAAAGTTATTCAGGTATTCAAAGCAGGAGTATCCTATTGGGACAAGAGATTGCTACTTAGGGTGGAAAATAAGAACTCCCAACTAGCCCAGTTCAAGGGGCTTACAACGAGAGTCAAAAAAAGCTCCGGTTGTGGGAAGCCTTCAACTGTGAAGAAGTCGGGGCATTTACTTTATCAAGGGTATAAAGGAAAACTTTTTACTTCCGTGGCAGCCAATGTTGGTTAGCTATCTAACGTTCTCCACCCCACTTCCATGACAACACAACTTTAATACTGTCCAATTCCTCTCTTCCCTCCAAACCAATTGGAAAAGAAATCTACACACACATAATTCAGCCCCAAAGTAAATCCTGAGTCTAAGCCAGTGGTTCTCAACAAGCATCACACCTCTGTGGGGGAGGAGAGGAAAAGGGCTGCTTTACGGTGTCGCACTGCCCGAGGTGTGCTACTGATATTTAGTTGGAAGGAACCAGAGACGCTGAATGTCCAGCAAAGCCCAACACGGTCCTGCATAAGAACTGGAAAAGCCAGAGAGATAAACACTAGGCAATAACAGATGTCCCATACTCATTGTCTGTTACTGCTTTAGGTGTAGCTAATAGCCCAGTTCTGGTCATTAAGATATAAGGAGTGGCCTGGTTCTGGTGCTTTCTTCCTTCCTATTAATACTGTCCCAATTGTATATGGCTCTTGGGACTGCTATAGCTATCTACTCCTCAAAACCAGTTTCTTCTTTGATCTCCCTACTTCCAACACTGGCACCTCCCATTTTCTGTTACCAAGTCCTAAAGCAATTGTGACTTCTCCTAAACCTTAACCTTAGGGTGACCATTCAATTAGGTTTGCCTGAGATAAACTGATTTAATAACTCCTCTTCTCTGGCTATACTTATTAATGCCCTATTTACTTCCAAAAGTGTTCCATATTGAAGGATAGAATATATGGTCACTTATCACCAATTGCGTCGCTCTTCAAGTACCTCTAATGCAGGGCTCAGCAATATGGCTTCCAAGCTGTTTTTGCACACCTCCAAGGCCAAAAAAAAAAAAAGGTTTTTACATATTTAAATGATTTTTTAAATCAAAATATTTCATGATACCTGAAATTACACTAACATTTCAATGTCCATAAAGTTTTATTGGAACACAGCCACACTCATTCATTGCCTATGGCTGCTTTCTCATTTCAAGGTAGAGTTGAGTAGTTTAGACAGACTTAAAATATAATCTGGCTCTTTGCAAAAAAATGTTTGCCAACACCTGCTCTAATGCCTCCACTAGCTCTGCGTCTCACCTCACGCACAAATACCCTAGCCTACAAACTGCTTTCCCACTCTTTCCCCTGCCTCGAATCCTTCAGACACCTGGTTGCTATATAATCTCTCTACAAAAGGGTCGACCCTGTCTGTCACTTGCCCCGTCAATATCCACAGTGGCTCCTCCAAAACCGACAGTGAAAAGTTCAAACATATTCTATGAGACTCAAGACAACCGACAAGGGCAAGAGAGAACACGTCAAACGAGTTGAGTGCATGAGGCCTCAGGGGTCACTTTCACACCGGAATTTTAAAGATGTGAGAGATTAAAAAGACTTCCCAGGTACATAAAACAAAAGCTGAAAAAAGAGCGAATGATAAAAAGAAAGACCACCTCAACCTGTCCACTTCCCTATGGCGGCAGAAATTACGATTCAAGGAATAACGAGACCCTTCGTCTAAATCCTTTAAAATTCCACAAGAGCAGCGAGCCAGCGCGAGCAGCACGTAGACTCCCGATGCCAGAGAAGCCCGGTGCGGTCTCCGCGCTTTCTCTCCGTTCCAGGAAGACTCCAGCTGGTCGCCAAAACTGCTCGCCGTTTCCTGATCTGCGCGCCCACGCTGCCGGTCTCCCGACAAGAGCGACGGCGCACTGGGGAAAAGCAGATGCCCCTCATCGGTTTGCGCCTTGCAGTTCAACTGTGCCCCAGCCTCCCACAAACCACCTGCCCGCGCCCTTCGCCGGGCGTCCCGCCAAGGCGCACGTGAAGCTCCCGGGAGGGGCCAGTGAAAGAAGGCAAGAGTTTGCAGACGTAAACTCAGGCCTGGGAAGGAAAGCGATTCCGGGGCGCACGCGCAGAGACAGGCGACTGGGCGGGGCGTACCTCTCGCAGGGGTTACGGAGAAGAGAGCGCGTGGCGCTCAGGAGCTCGCGCACGCGCTGTGGTCTCGCCCCGCCCATGAGCGCGAGCGTGCGGCCTTCGTAGCTTTTCTTCAGACCCGCCCCCTTTTCTACTTCACCTAGGAGAGGCTCGGAGCGAGAGCAGGGAAGTGTGGGGCGAGGTAGGCGGGGCGTCGCACGCGAGCGCGGCCTGCGACCTAAGGCGGGGGCGGGAGAGATCCGAGACAACGTTACCCCGTCAACACCCAATCGGGATCCGGCCTGACCCCGCCCCCTCTCCTCATGTTATTGGCTGCGAGGCCCCCAGATGGGCGGGGCCGGCCGTGGGGTTGGGGAGTGCAGGGGGCGGGTAGGAGGAGGAAGGCGCTGGCGGGCAGTGATGGCGGCGGGTGATGGGGACGTGAAGCTAGGCACCCTGGGGAGTGGCAGCGAGAGCAGCAGCGACGGCAGCAGCGAGAGCCCGGGCAGCGCGGGAGCGACAGCGGAAGGGGGCGGCTGGGCGGCGGCGGCGTTGGCTCTTCTGACGGGGGGCGGGGAGATGCTGCTGAACGTAGCGCTGGTGGCGCTGGTGCTGCTGGGGGCCTACCGGCTGTGGGTGCGCTGGGGGCGGCGGGGTCTGGGGGCCGGGGCCGGGGCGGGCGAGGAGAGCCCCGCCGCCTCTCTGCCTCGAATGAAGAAGCGGGACTTCAGCTTGGAGCAGCTGCGCCAGTACGACGGGTCCCGCAACCCGCGCATCCTGCTCGCGGTCAATGGGAAAGTCTTCGACGTGACCAAAGGCAGCAAGTTCTACGGCCCGGGTGAGGAGTTGGAAGGGGAGGGGAAGGACCCCCTGCAGCTCAAGCACGACCCCCTTCGGACGGGGAGGCCTCTGGGCACCGGGTTAGTTTGCCCAGCCTTCTCGTCGCCTGGACCCCCGCGCCTCGGCCGCCGCACCTGGGACGGCCCGGCCGGGCCCGCCCCTACACACACACACCCCTCCCCCGTGTTGCGTACACCTCCAGCTCTTGCCCCGAAACCAGGAGTCCCTGGTGGCGCGCCAGCGACCAGCTCTCAACCTTCATCTTTTTCCATGCCATTTCTCCTCGCAGTGTTTTTTTGTTTTTGTTTTTGTTTGTTTTTGCTGGATTTTTAACAATCGCTATAGTTGTCACCGGTCAACGCTGTGCCTAAACCTTTCTTGAGTCTCCTGATTTCTAGAATAGGTGGGGCAGCATGGAAGGAAGATTTCTGAAGTTGGGACCTAAACTAAAGTTTTAGGCTCTGTAATTCACAGCTTTCTTTTCCTGTCTTTTTTTTTTTTTTTTTTTTTTTTTTTGGCCACTGATCTCCTTTTTCCCTCTCTGTTACTCTCCGTAAGGCCACGTTTAGGGTCATATAAAATCCCAACCCTCCAGTCTCTGAAGTCCGGGCGTATAAGCAACACCTCGGACTCTTTTTAAACCAGTTTTAGTTCGGAGATGCTTTCCAAGATTAACAAGGTATGTCGCATGAGGACAGACAAGAATGCAGGTCTTATTATAAGACTGGTAAGGATATTCGCCCTGAGTTTTGGGGGTGGAGCTCTTAATACCCAGCAGGCGTGTCTCTGGTTTTTTTTTCTCTCTCTCTTTTCAAGTACACGTTGATAATGACTTGTGTTTTCACTTAGCGGAACTGGGAAGAAAAAACTTAGAAGAGCTATAGATTCATACCCTCCATGTACCATGCAAGTTAAAGATTTTTAGAACTTTGTTTTCAGAGAACTGTGTGTAGGGTAGTTGATTTAGAAGCCCTTCTTTTACAGTGTGGTTGTAGCATACATTTTGGGTTGTGCTAATAAACTCCAGACTCATGGAACCTGTTGGTATATCATGCAGTTAAGCAACATACTAAGCTTTAAAAAAAGTGACTACAATAAGAATAAATAATTAAATTAGAGACCTAAAGTGACCTGTTATTGGAGAGAGTACATGCAAGCCTTAAAATCATAGGTTGGCAGTCTGGAAATAAGCTGGATTTGTCCTTCATTTAATCTGTGAGTTTATGAGATTTATTGACACATACAAATATATACTTCTGGTTTCAGTGCCTGATAGCTGTGATAGTTTAGAAGTGCTTTGGTTTGTAGTTTGTTCATTGGAATAGGGATAAGAAATAGGAGATTTTTGGTGTGAATTATGTAATTTATTTCTTAGTTGTCTGTACTTCTGTATATATATACACATTCAATCCAACCAAGTAAATACATAGCTTACAAAGTTTTTGCTTCTGATTATATAAATATGAACACAAGATGCCCACCTACTTTATATCAGCTGAAATGGTTAATACATATTTGTTTACTTAAGCACACGTGGGACGAGACTAGGACCAAAGTACAATATTTAAACAGGCCAAATTAAATAAATTCTTTTTTAAATCAAGGATTTACATAGCATTTTATACCTAGTGCAAGCTTCTTCCCCATTGGAAAATGTGTGTTAAGTGATTAGAAATCCTGTACAGGTTTAAATTTTTAATATAGACCTGAACCAGCTAAACGATCAGCTTTTGTAGCCTCTGTCTGAACTGCCACTGAAGAAAACAAAGTATATTAGTACAAAGAATCTTATTAGTCCTCACACATTATGCCTTGTCAGTATCTGAAAATAGCTAGGAGAGACAGTCATAGAAACAGTTTGACAGTCTCCAGTGGCAAATGTTTGTTCTGTGATAGAAATTAAAAATTAAAGCCGGGCACAGTGGCTTACGCCTGTAATCCCAGCACTTCAGGAGGCCGAGGCAGACAGATCACCAGAGGTCAGGAGTTCGAAACCAGCCTGGCCAACATGGTGAAACCCCGTCTCTACTGAAAATACAAAAGAATTAACCAGGCCTGGTGGTGGGTACCTGTAATCCCAGCTACTCAGAAGGCAAAGGCAGGGAGAATTGCTTGAACCTGGGAGATGGGGGTTGCAGTGAGCAGAGATCGCGACATTGCACTCCAGCTTGGGCGACAGAGTGAGACTCCGTGTCAAAAAAAAAAAAAAATGTTTAAGAGTCATAGGTGGTAGATTGCTTTTGTATGGTTATGTGCATTGAGGGAGGCTTCTGAGATTACCATGGAGAAGTCAGTTTTAGATTAGTTTCTCTCAGTTACTAGGTTCTGATTAACAACCTGAAAGTGATATCCAGTTATTCTGCAGTTGCTCAACAACCTGACAGATATTTGAATATTTTATTATTGAAAGGAAACTTAAAGCCAGATCATTTTATGGGCTTATAACATGTTGATATTTCATATTAATAGAAAATGTAACAAGTAGTACTTTTAAAAAAATCTTAAAGCCAGATTTCTGGCTATAAAACAGATGCAAGTTCAGTTTTGCTTTTAATTTTTATTTTCATCCTCAAATTAAGCAGTTTTGTAGTAGAATAATTCAGAAGCAGTAATTGGTAGTTTCTATGCCTAGCCAATATGTACTCTCATTTCACAATAGTTTTAGGATTAAATTTTGTTTTGTGAGACTTTTCCATAAAGCTGAACATACACTTATTTTTAGTCACACATTTTTAAAGTTCAGGCTCTTAAAAATTAAATATTCACAAGATAGTTTGGTGGAGAAAACGCACTTTGGCAAACAGTTGGCATTAACTATATTTGTCAATATTAGATTTAGTAACAGGTCAGGCACTTGGCCATCATATGAGGAAAGTTTGGTCATGTAAAAGACAGTGAATTTGGGAGGAGAAAGAAAACCAGATTTGTTAAGCATCTACTATATCAGATCCATTAATTTTTTATCTTCATAATTCCTCGGTAAAGTTGGTAAGTATTCCTGTTCTACTTGGGGAGTCTGGGGTTTAGGTATTTTAGGTAAATTGGCTTGGATCACACATATATCTGGTAAATCCAGGCATATGTTACCACAAAGCTTATCTATACTATTTCTAGTGAACTGCATTCTGTGATAAACTTGTAGAGAACCTTTTATTTTCCTAACTCACCAAGAACAACTTCTAGAGAATCTTACTGTTATTTTTCTTGTTTTTTGTTGTTGTTTTAACCAAGTCTTACTCTGTTGCCCAGGCTGGAGTACAGTGGTGCAGTCTCTACTCATCGCACACTCCACCTCCTGGGTTCAAGTGATTCTCCTGCCTCAGCCTCTCCAGAGTAGCTGGGATTACAGACACATGCCACCACGCCTGGCTAATTTTTATATTTTTAGTAGAGATGGGGTTTCATCATGTTGGCCAGGCTGGTCTCGAACTCCTGACCTCAGGTGACCCACCTGCCTCCACCTCCCAGAGTGTTGAGAGTACAGGTGTGAGCCACCTCGGTGGGCTGTTGTTTTTCTTTATATCCTCCCTGGTTCCCATAAATCCAAGGATTTAAACTCTCATAAAAACATGTTTTCTGCTGGGTGTAGTGGCTCACACCTGTAATCCCAGTTCTTTGGGAGGCCAAGGCAGGCAGATCACCTGAGGTCAGGAGTTCGAGACCAGCCTGGCCAACGTGGTGAAACCCTGTCTCTACAAAAATACAAAAAAAATTAGCTGGGTATGATGTCAGGTGCCTGTAATCCCAGCTAATCAGGAGGCCGGAGAATCGCTTGAA